CTGAACTGGGTTTCTTGGGGTCAGCCCGACTCGACTCTAAGCAACAAACTCGATTCAGTAGGATATCATAAACTTCCTATTTCAAAAACACAAAATGGGCGTTACAGCTGCTGAAGGGCTATTATTAAGCAAGGAGTCTTGCACTGATTGTGCTTTAATGTTTGAGGTTGACGTTTTTTTCTTCTGCCCAGAAACGGGTAAGAAGAAGAAAAAAGGCTCATAAGCCCAAGCCCCAAAACAGTTGTGCAGCTAATGGTGCAAATGGTGCTGTGAAAAAGCCCAAGGGCAAGTGTTTTTTCACTGCAAAACCTGAATCACTAGAAGCCAGCAATGTCCAACCTGGATGCCAAGAAAAATTCAAGTACATCTTTTCTATTTTTACTTACTGGTTGTTTGAAACTTGTTTAGCTATATTGACTAGACTTCCAATGGTTGTGTAGACTCAAGAGCCACTAAGTCAAATGTTCTACAATTCTTTGGTAGGGGTTTCAAGTAACACTCCAGCTAAGTGAGGGAGAAGTCAGTATCTTTTCTGGAGATGGCACTGAAATTTGCAGTTTTTACTGTTGGGAATGTTACCCTAATTTTAAGAATAATAGAACATTAGTCTTAAGGGATATTTTGTATGTTCATTCATTAAAGGAATTTAATTTCTATTTCAGTTTGAGTTAAAGAATGGTTATTCAATTTGTTTTACATGAATTTTCATGATGATTCTATCATTAGTAATTTAGGAAAAACAAGATGGATTTGTTCTGCTCATTGGTTGATGATCTATTTACTTCTTAAAGTATCACCTGATATCTCGCAAGTGTAATTAATTCTGAAATAAATAACTTCGATGTGTTGTACCATTAAAGAGAAGACAGGCGGTGGACATGCTCCTATTGAATTCCAATCACACATATCTTTGGCATTTAAAGGCTTGGTTTCATTATTAATTTAGATAGAATTTCTAGGTTGGTTCAAGGATGGACCCTTGAGTTCATGAAAAGTGGAGCACTACCAAACCTGTTGAATCATGTTCTAGAAGGTAAAAATGACTAAGGAGGCATTTTCCCTTAAAGGGTAATCAAGGGCCAGTGATGTTTTAGAATTAATTCAAATCTTGATTTGTGTGGCCCAATGAGTGTCCAAGCTAGGGATGTTTGAGTATTTTGTGACTTTCATTAGATGACTACTCAAAGATATGGGGTATATTTACCTGTTGCGTCGTAAGTCTGAATGCTTAAAAAATTCAAAAGAATTTAAGGGCAAAAATGAAGAAAAAAAAACGAGAAGTGACATGAAAATATTATATCAAGTCACTACGGTCTGACTGGTGGTGGCGAATATCCTCTTAGGGAATTCATTGCTTATTTATCATACAAGGAATTACTTCACAAATTGTCTACACCTGGTATGCCACAACAGAATGGTGTAGCAGAAAAGAGCAGAAATAAAGACATTTATGGAAAATGTTTACGCATGATGAGTTATTCAGATTTGCCACTTTTCTTTCTAAGGATATGCATTGAAAAACAACAACATATATTTCTTGAATTTAGGTTCCTTCTAAGATCAGTACCTTTGACCTAAAGAACTATGGATGGGGCATAAGCCTAGGTCTAAACATGCTTTAGATGTGGGGTTGCCCAGTCCATGTGCCGAAAAGAGGAAAGTTGAATAAGTTGGAATAAAGACTTATGTTACTTTATTGGATATCTTAGAGGAACGAAAGGTGGTTTATTTTATAGTCCTAAAGATAAAAAGACCATTGTTAGCACCAATGCACATTATCTTGAGGAGGAATATATTCTAAACCATATTCCCAAAAGCTAATTAGCTTTGCGAGAATTGAGAGGGGATACCATACTTACTGACTCATTTCCGAAAGAACATGAACCTTAACCATTCACAGTTGGTGCTGACATACCATTACCTCATCGTAATGGGAAAAATGCTAGTAGTCAGTCTTATCAATGCACAATTCCAGATTTACCACTACAGCCCTAAAGTAGTGGAAGTGATGTTGATTTACATACATAATAGGTGGAACCCATTGACATTTCATTACCTACTAGTATTAAAGGAAATGTTCAGGCGGTTCCAGAACCTGACTAGGATTCTGTTGCACCAGTCATAGACTTGCCGACTTTACAGCCTGAGCAAGATGATAGTGTGCTTGATCTGGTAGTACCTCATTGTAGTGGGAGAATTAGACAACCATCGGTTCAGTTAACACTTCTGTGAGAAGTTTTTGATAGGGTCCCTGAAGAAGTGAATATCGAACCAGTATGTTACGACGATGCACTACAAGATAAAGATGCCGATAACTGGCTTATAACTATAAAATTTGAGATAGAGTCCTTGTGCTCTAATCAAGTCTAAGAACTTATAGAACCACCTGAAGGGGTTAAACCCATCGGACTTTACAGCCTGAGCAAGATGATAGTGTGCTTGATCTGGTAGTACCTCATTGTAGTGGGAGAATTAGACAACCATCGGTTCAGTTAACACTTCTGTGAGAAGTTTTTGATAGGGTCCCTGAAGAAGTGAATATCGAACCAGTATGTTACGACGATGCACTACAAGATAAAGATGCCGATAACTGGCTTATAACTATAAAATTTGAGATAGAGTCCTTGTGCTCTAATCAAGTCTAAGAACTTATAGAACCACCTGAAGGGGTTAAACCCATCGGATGTAATTGGATCTATAAGAAAAACAGAGGTGTAGACGGAAAAGTGCAAACTTATAAGGCAAGACTTGTTGCGAAAGGGTATACTCAAAAAGAAGGGATCGATTGTGAGGAAACATTTTGGCTGGTAGTCATGCTTAAGTCTATTAGAACTCTTCTATCCATTGCAGCTCATTTTGACTATGAAATTAATTTGGCAAATGGATGTCAAGACAGTTTTCCTAAATGGAAGTCTTGATGAATGCATCTCTATGAAGCAACCATAGGGAATATGAATATGAAGTCACACGACTCGACTGAATGTTCATACGCACATTGGGAAGAGAAGGTTCGTTGGTATGAGAAAACTTGCAACACTGTTTACTTTTAGATTTTGGGTTCCTGAATTGGGTTTTCTACAGCTTTGTTGTATGATTTTTATTTTAATGATTGCTTTCGATTTATTGAGGAAGAGATCCTGTTTATTATGAAAAAAAATTGAGGAAGCAGAAATAATTATAGCTTCATAAAGCATAAGGGTTTCAAAGAAAAATAGTAGCAAGAAAAAGACGGTTTTCTTGAAAGGATGGATTATAAGTTGGCAGTTATTGATTACAACAAGGAAAGAGATTCAACTAAAGATAGAGATCATTTCCTTATCAAAGGAAAATTGAAAAGACTGTGATTTTGCTACTGAGAATGAAAATAGAATTTTTTGCAGAAAATTTTAGCTTTGAGTGGCAAAAATTGAAAGGAAAAAAAAAATTGAAGAGTTCAAGCCAAGAGATGAAGAACAGAAGAAATCTCTATATGCAAATAAAGAATTATAGGGGAAAAGAACAAAACACAACAACAAAGTAAGGGTTTACGCTCCAAGAGCATCTTCAAGAATCGAAATCTGCAAAATAAAAGTTGCGGAAGATATGAAGATGGCAAAGTTGAAAATGAAAAATATCTCCCTCCAAAAATTCACGAAGAAGAAGCCCAAAATAATTTTTCTTGTACTCAAGTCATTGCACAGAAAGGGAGAGAAGGATCACAAGCTGTTTTTTTTTACAAATAAAACTCTAGTTTAGGTAGAAGAGAAGAGGGAAAGTAGTTGTAAAATGGAAGGAAACTTTCCATGTATTAAGAGCCAAACTTGACAAGGTTTTTCCATGTTGGACTTCATAAGTTTAATTAACGCTCCTTTAGACGATTGTATCCACTCTCTGGTTTGCTAGCGTAGAGAGGTGCAGGATGAAAAAAATAGACCTGAGGTATATAATTGTTTCCTCGCAAAGTTGGAGGTACCGTAAAAATTTTTTTTTTTTAAAGTACATGGGCAACTTAATGTGTGTGGCTAATTTTTGTACAATATTTTTCTAACTATATTATATATTATTTTGCCCTTGATTTCAGATCCTAGCTCTGCCACTGCACTCAATTATCCATTGTTTAACTATTTTGCTTGAATTCACCTCTTGCTGTTGCCACCAACTGACAACTAAAAGAATAAAAAGAATTAAAAACAACTAATTTTGCACCTAAAACTTACAAACCACATAAAGATTTGCTTTAGTTAACAACACAATAAATGGATTTTCACAAATGGCCTCAAACTGTATCGTGCAACGATTGAGATGATTAATTGATAATTACTGTAACAACAAATCTAACAAAAGCGGAGAGCGAACGAAGAAGAAGGAAATAAAAAGAAAGGAACATTTGACAAAAGGTATTATTGTTTTTTCTTTTAAATTTAACAGCAGAAAATAAAAAAAAATTAATGGAAGGACGAAATAATTGTATAGAATCAATTTAAAATTAATAGGGTATTTAACTCTGAAGTTAATTTAAAATTAATAAAAAAATTATTATTGTTAAAGTTTAAGATCATTAAAAACTTAAAAGAAAAGGGGAAAAAAGAGAAGAAAAAAAATCTTATTTTCTATAACTAAACTGAAATCAAAATCACTTAAAATAATAAACCAAAACCCAAAAACCAGGTTCAGTTTTCGATTTTAACTTATGTGTCATATTTGCAAGTATTATAATATTATTTTGGTTTCTAGATAAAAAATTATTTATTTTGAGGAGGCTCAATAAAAAATTATTGTTTTATACATAAAAGTTTATTTTAAAAAATAATCAAGAAAAGAGTAATTGATATATCTTATAAAAAATATTACACAATTTAACTCTCATCAATATAAAAATTTTTCTACTTTCCAAAAGAAAAGAATATAAAAATATTTCTTGCTGACGCTATAAAAAAGAAATGTATATATACATTTAATTTCGCTAAATACATAAATTCACTTCTCAGCTATCACCAAAAAATTTTTGTAGCCCCCTCTATTTTCAAAGTGAGTTTATGGCTCTTTAAAATTATAAATTTGCTATAAATAGACATCTTTTAGTCTAGCTAGCAGAGCCAGTGAATTGCAAACTCTAAACCGTGCATAGGCTTTAAAAGAATATATAAAAAGTTATAGATATGAAAGGAAAACTTGAACCACCGGCCAATGACCCAAGAGTTGGCAAGATAGCGTCGACAACGCTTCCTGGTGGATAGGCAGCTTCTAGAAAAGCAGCAAGTCCCTCAACATCTGCCATCACTGCACTCATGGAGGCAACAGTTATGAAGACAACACAAGTAATCTTATCATTTATTTTTCATTTTTGGGTTAGGCAAATAACAACAAAGAGCTCTCCAAACAATTTATTGAAACTTTTTGTTGAATCTACTTTTCCTCTGAATATAAATTTTTTCAGTTACCGGAAAAAATCGATTTTTGGAGAAATATGAAAAGTGAAGAGACTTAGATATAATGGAGGAAGTATCGTCGGTAAAGAAGCAATCACATAGCCGGTGTTGAAAGGATATGTGCTGTTGATAAGCCGCAATGAATATGGCAAGTCCGCAAATTTAAAAATAAAAGTCAATTTTCTACTTTATTTACAATTTTAAGTGACCACGGTGTTACTTTAAAAATATAAAGGGCCTTTCTGATAATTAGATCGTTAAGTGTTTTTTTGAAAGTTTTAAAGTGAATTTATATATTTCGTCGTATAATTTCTGGATCCCGTAAAATCACACACCTACATATGCGAAGGGAAACCATCAATAAAGCACACGAATCCATAAAACGTGTTAATGCAACCTTTTTGGATGACTATGATGGAAGAATAGGTAGTGATGGTGGTCCATTTTATAAAGGGCATAGATAAAGTTGAAGTCTTTGTCAAATATTGATGGGTGGCGAGCTTCCTTATACCCTTTAAGGGGCGACATTCCTATCATCTTAATTTCTTTTATTGGGAATTTTCATAATCTAATAATTGAATAAATTTACTCAATTATTATAATATTTATTTTGAAATCATTAACAACGATTCCAATTCAAAATAGTTTCTATTCCGTTTGGTTTCTAAATTTTTAATTTTATCTTGAAAATTGGCCAGATGAAATAAGTTAAATAAAGAAAAAAGAAAACCCTGCTTCTTTATTTTCCTTTATTTTTTTGTTGTAAAACTCTAGCAAAAAAATTATATTGTGGATGGTAAATTTTTAATTCATATTTGAGAAATAAAAATCAAAAGCAACAATTAAACTAAACATGGCAAGTATAATTGTAATAGTTTGAAATTATATTTTCAAATTTTTTGATTTTAAAATTAAATGAAAATGCAATGTTGGCGAATTGTATGCTGAAAATTCCATATTCTAGCAAGAATTCTTTAAAAGAAGGTTTTTTATTTTTTATTTTTTTTTTGAGAACAGTTTAGCTGGATAAACCAGCCAGCTAAAATATAATATTGGGAGAGGATGACCCCGTTGCTTCATTTAAGGAGAAAAAAAAAAAGAAATATTATTATATGTATCCATTTTAGCTTTCAGAAGCAGATCCTTTATGTGCTTTTGTTGAGTAAGAAAAAGACCATTTTGCAATCCATATAACTTCAATTTCGAGAAATTAGGATAATTTTCTAAGATCATGAAATGCAAACCTCTAATAAAATCTGATTAAAAGTGTTCGACAAAATTAACTGTTTTGGTAATTGTTAACTGTTTCAGTAACGTTTAGGTATTAGCTGTTTTAGTAGTTTTTCATGAAACGTTAAAAAGTTAAACGTTACATAGATTAATTTTTTACAAAACACTACTCTCACATTTAAAAGTTAGTTCAAACGTTATGTTATCAAATAGTTAGCGTTTTGACTAAACGCTCCTTAAAAACTGTTGCCAAATATAGTCTAAGAATTGCAAAAAAATCATTGCTAGTATCGGCTAACACAAGATATCAACATATATCAAACAATTAAGAACATCTTGATAATTCTTAAATAAAGAAGTAAAGATATGAATTTGTTTTTGAGCCACAGAAATTGATTGAATTCACGAAGTACATCACCATAAATTAATTTTTTAAGTCTACAAAAATGATTCAGTTTGTTAGGATCCACAAATCTTAGAGGTTGTGTTAACACAAGATCATCAAGAATCATGAAACAAAGCATTACAGATATTTACTTGACCAACGAAGCAAAATTGCTAATGTTATAAAATATAGAAAATAAAGAGAATATATAGAATTCGTCCATCAATCCATAGGATTAAAAAACTATTTATAAAATACAAAATACAATCTAAAATACGTAATCTTACATTTGAATGGATATAATCACTCATTCCAAATGACATAACCTTATATCTCAAAGACATAATTTATGGAGAAGATAACTAAATGGATATCCACATAATTATAATATTCATAACACTCTCCCTTGGATATCCATTATAAAAAATATGCCACATTAAAACTTTACTAAGAAAAAATCCCATGGAAAAAAATCTTAGTGAAAAAAAAGAGTACATTATTTTTTTCTAAAATATGCGATAATATACTGCCTTATTAAAAACTTTTACTACAAAAAAAACCAATGAAAAAAAAATCTTGGTTAAAGGGAAAAATAGTATAATGCGAATTTACTCCCCCATAAAACATCACTATTTGTCTTTTTCTTTAGTGTATCATTCCTTCAGGGAATATAATATATTTTAGCATTATCTCCATACAATATTATGTACCTTCTTTTTGTGTAAACAGGCTGTACGGATTTTGAATATATCAAATTATCAATTTCAACCAGACATATTATTGGCTTGCATCATGAATTGTGATATCTTCCATAACTATATAAATAAATGTGAATCATATAAAGAATTTGCATTTTCATAGCCAATCAAAAGTGATATAAGCATAACATGAACTCATATTCATTAAAATATATATTCAACTTCATTCAGTTTTCATGTCCAAAAAGAACTGTATCTTGATAATAAGTTTAAAGATACCATCACATAAGTATAATGATCAGCAATATATATAATTAGCATGCTACTATGGTACTTCAGGATATAGTATTTTCATTATTGCACAACTATATAGTTATTTCATCTCAAATTCCTTTTTAAAAGAAATTACAATCTTTAGAAAGCTCTTTAGGAGTTTTAATAATGTTCATAAACCAAATAATAGTAAATTATATTTTATTCTCTTACGAACATATTCTAACAATAAATATAATAGACTAATTTACCTTTAAATAGAATAGCATATAAAACAAATATCAATACTTCATCAAATAAGAGTCAAAACATGATGAATCACATCATATATTTTCTTCCACCATAGATCACATGATATTTTCTCAGTCATATCTTTAAGGCGATTATACAACCTTTGCCCAGATTTCCTTAATCCATCTAGAAATTTTTATAATTTACTTGAATACATTTTTAGGGGTTTAATTTGCATGCTTCAAGCATGTTTTCCTTCAAGTACTATCATTATCAAATAGTCCATATAGAGCTCTATATAATTTCTCGAGAATATGAATTTTTGTGCTTTAAGCAACTTAAATCCTTCAATAATTTTCACATAGATATCTATAACAAATGAGCCATATAAAATAGACAATCATTTTTATGCTTATATGCCCCAAATAGACTTATGCTCTAGCACTTAATATTATGAAAAACAATGAGGATCTTGAATATATGTAAAAATCCAGTAGATATTATCAATTCCATCTATCCTTGACATGATATAACATATCGAGATCTCATTATTTTTTATTGAATTCATTGATTTCATGTACCTGAGTTTCTTCTGAAAATTTATCAGTCATGTCTAAGGTCTCTTCTGGAGTTTACTCCTGTAGAGTTTTTCTTTCTAGAATTTGTACAGATAACATATTTGCTCCTTCTCATTTTTAATGATTCTTATCCTTAGAACTTATATTCTAATAGAAGTCTAACAACTGATTTACAATAGTTTACAAAATAACTATTTTTGAACTTCTAATTCATACAGGAGAGGATCAAAATTTAATAATAATAATAATAATTATTTTCAGTAATTAGCATTTTCATCTGCTTATTCTCTCTGATGCATAACAATCAATAAATTTGGCTATAGAAACTTGTTGGCTTGATGCGAATAATTATTACTATATATAATAGCAATATCGCTATAAATAGGGAGCTTTGTTTTCATAACATTGTTTTGAGCATAAATTAACCATAAAAATTTATTAGATTTAAAGAAACTTTCTGTTCTTTAATAAATATCCATATAAGGATTTAGTTATTTTTTCGCATCAATATTGATTCGAGATAGCCTAACTGATTCTGCCAAACAATAAAAATATTTGAATCTATAAACTTCTAGTTTACATCTATATTCATTACAATTATTGTTTTTATATGATATTCCTTTCTGTAAATATCCTTAAAATAAATTTGTATAAGATTAAAGAGATAATAATATATAATGCATGAAAGTCATTTCTCTAAATAATATATAATGATGTTCCTCATTCTATCCTTCCTTTTGTTTTATTGGAAAATGATCTTTCTTCTTAATGAATTATTTTTTTTATCTTCTCAAAAAAAAAAAAAAAAAAAAAAAAATATCCTTAAAATAAATTTGTATAAGATTAAAGAGAAATAATATTATAAGTGCATGGAAAGTCATTTCTCTAAATAATAATTAATTGATGTTTCCTCATCTCTATCCTTCCTGTTTGTTTGAGTGGAAAATTGATCTTTCTTCTTAATGAATATTTTTTTTATCTTCTCAAAAAAAAAAAAAAAAAAAAAAGTTGCCTCTTCAATAGCTTTTTAATAATTCTTTAGTATCAAAGTGAGAATTTTGCTTTCATATATTAGATGTACAAACAAGTACATTAATCAATATGTCTTATTATCCTTTTGCCACTTCTAGTAGTAAGTAAGATTTTATTTTTGATTATTTGTGCGAAAAAAAAAAAAAAAAAAAAAAGTTGCTCTTCAATAGCTTTTAATAATTCTTTTAGTATCAAAGTGAGAATTTGCTTTCATATATTTTGATGTACAACAAGTACATAATCAATATGTCTTATTATCTTTTGCCACTTCTAGTATGTAGTAAGATTTATTTTGATTATTTGTGGTTATCACAATTACAAAGATCAGTAATTTACAGTCACATCCAATATTATATGTTATGACATTCACTTCAGGGAATAAAATAAATCTAATTGAGTGGGTTTTATTTCAGACATCTTCTATATCACTATTGTAAATATGTCATTGTTTTTCTTTTTGTTTATGCCAATATTATCATCCATCATTTCATTTACTTTAGGGAATCAAAATAAATTTTATTATGTAAAATACGAGCTTAATTTTTTATAATGCCGCTGCAGGAGCATATTCAAAGGTATAAAAATTTATCCACGATTTATGGATTAAATATTATCATAAATAGATCAATCAAATATCATCATTTGTACCATATATTTCTTTTAATGGAAAAATATCTAAATGGAAATACAATTCTATGCTAGCTCAATAATTTATTTATAATTTTTTCGGCTACACATTTCAAAATTAATATTTCCTCAAATTATTTCAAAATAAGTGGATCTTTAATTGTTAAACATCTAGTGGAAGAAAATTATTGTTTTAGATGCAATTTCAATTAATATCTTAATTTTCTTTCTTACTGTATCTTCAGGATACATAATATCTACATATAAAGACAAATAATTCATAATCAATATATTAAAAGTCACAAATCCAAATTCTATAAGATTTGATACGATAAAAAGTATTATAACAATGTAATCACTTTAGATAATGAGACCATAAGAATCGAAGAAATAATGTGGTGTTGTCAATCATGATCATATAGAGATTCCATCTCACAATTATATTTTATATTTTAAAGCCAAAATCAAAGAATCATAATGCCTTCCTCAATTTAAGAAAAAAAAATATGTATTTAATACATACACAGTGAATAAAATTAAAACTTGTATTTTTTATCACCACAAATTAGATTATAAATTAATCACAGTAATATAATTTTCAAAGCCATATAGAAAATTGCCTTTTGAGTGTAAACAAATCCAAACACACCAACCTTAACTTTGATTGTTACAAACCACAAGTTATTCTTTCTTTAAGTAATTTTGATCAACAGAGCAATATAATAAAAATCGAAATGGTAGAATGAAATCGTATTGATAACGTGTTATAAAATATAGGAAATAGAGAGAATACAGAGAAAGTAGAGAGAGAGAATTATTGTATTAGAATCTTTCATCGATTAATCCATAGAATTAATCAACTATTTATATGATACAAAAAACAATCTACAGTATATAACTTTACATTTCAAAGTACGTAACCGTTCATTCCAAATGACATAACTTTATATCCTAAAAGATATAACTTATGGAGAAGATAATTAAATGGATATCCACATAATTATAATATTCATAACAGCTGAAGAAAAAATTAAAGGGTTTATTATATATTAGGTGTATGAGTTATTAATGTTAGAATAGGTGTATGGATATTTATTTGAGTTAGACTATTAAATATAAGGTGAAATTGCACTGGGAGCTCCAATGGGGGGATGGGTGTTAGTGAACTCTGATGGATGCTCGAAGGGTAACACTAGTCCGACAAGATGTACAAGGGTGTTCCGGGATTCAAATGGTAACTGGCTTTTGGGATTTTAGTCGCTTCTTGATTGTTGTAGATCGTTGGAAGCAAAGGCTTGGATATGTATCAGGCTTTTAACCATTTCATGGTATCAGGGACGGAGGAAGTTAATAATTCAGTCAAATTCTCAAACTATTAACTTGATAACTGGCCAATCTGTTACTGCTTTTCGGATTACTAATCTCATAAGAGAGTAATTTTCCTTTTGCAGGGAATGGCAAGTGCAATTGGTAAAGATGCATCGAGAAGCTGAATCAGATTGTTTAGCTAGGCTAGATTTTATTTGAAGGCTGAACTTATTGGGGCAGTGTGGCCTCGTATTAAGGACATCCTATCCTCATATGTAGTAATAATAATAATAATAATAATAAAATTGCATAATCTACCTAGTGTGCAGGTACGATTAAGATATATTTTTTCTGTCTCAATTTGTTTGCATAGTCAGACAAAATATATATATTAAGAATTTAATGAATAAGTATTATTTTGTCCTTTTTTTACCATTAACTCATTAAAATATTAATAAAAGTCATTTATTTAATGAACAATCATAAATATTATAATAGAAAAAATAATTATTTAGATATATAAATTTAAAAACTTTACAAATATTTGAGAAAATATAAAAATAATAACAAATAAGTAAAATGGGAGGAAGGAAATATATGTTTAACCATATTGTAAAAGAAAAATAAAGTACAGGAATAAAATATTTAACGCTGTGCAGCAAGTTGCTCCACATTAATAGCTCTTTTCATATCTTTTTTATTTTCTCCTCTGAAAGGTCTAAAAAAATGCTGGACAGTGACTCTACTGCTAAGTTTGGTCCATTTGCTTTCAGTGGACACGGCATCTATCTCTCTCTTCCAACATTTTCTTTTTAATTAACAAATCCAAAGATCATAGAACTAGAAGAAAAGGTAAAAGCTTTAGCCTTTAACAATGAAGAAGAAGAAGGGAAAACAAAAGAATCTATGCTTGCAAACCAACTGTTTGTTCTAATGCCAAAGTGAAAAGGACCCACAACTGAAAAACAGACAAAACAAACAACAACACAATGCAATTCTCCTCTTTCACTTTCCTCCTCCTTCTCTATCCCTTATTAAATAATTCTAAAAGTTGTTGAAGTAAACACTCTTTACAATTTTTTATTAACTTTTAACATCCCAACCATTTCCTTACACATAGCCACAACCTTGCTTGCTTACTTATATATTTGTACAGAGTTCTATATGCTCGCCGGCGATGCCCACGCCGGTCAGCGTTGCAAGACAATGCTTAACAGACGAGGCGGCGCGTGCTCTTGATGATGCTGTTGCTGTGGCGCGTCGTCGTAGCCATGCTCAAACTACATCTCTCCATGCTGTCTCTGCTTTACTTGCTTTGCCTTCTTCTATTCTCCGTGATGCTTGTGCGCGCGCTAGAAATAGTCCGTGTTCTTCCCGCCTTCAGTTTCGCGCGCTTGAGCTCTGTGTTGGAGTTTCTCTTGATCGGTTGTCTTCGTCGAAAACCTTGGAGGAGCCTCCTATTTCGAATTCTCTCATGGCGGCGATTAAACGGTCTCAGGCGAATCAGCGGAGACATCCTGATAACTTTCACTTGCAGCAAATACACTGTAATCAACAACCGCCGTCGGTTTTGAAGGTTGAGCTTAAGTACTTCATTTTGTCCATTTTGGATGATCCGATTGTCAGTCGGGTACTCGGTGAGGCTGGGTTTAGGAGTTGTGATATTAAGTTGGCCATTATTCACCCGCCGGTGACGCCGCAAGCGGCGAAATTCTCGCGGACAAGGTATCCGCCGCTTTTCCTGTATAATTTGACAGGTTCGGATCCAGTTCAACCCGGTTTGAGCTTTCCCTTTAGTGGACGAGAAGATGTGGATGAGGATTGTAGGAGAGTCAGTGAGGCCTTAATGAAAAGAAATGGAAGAGGAAAAAACTTGTTGCTTCTTGGTGTCTGTGCTGGTGATGCTTTGAATAGATTTATCGAATGTGTAAATATGGATAAAGAAAAAATTTTGCCTAGTGAGATTTCAGGGCTAAGAGTGATTTCTATAGAAAAAGAGATTGTTGAGTTTGTCAGTGAAGGAGGGAAAGAAAGAGAAAAGATGGGGTTAAAGTTTGAGGAACTGCGAAATGAACTAGACCAATGTTCAGGTCCGGGTGTTTTGTTGAATGTTGGAGAATTAAAGGGTTTGGTTAATAAAAGTGATTCCATTGATGATGCTTTGAGTTATTTGGTTTCGAAGCTAACAGGTTTGGTAGAGGGTTTTAGAGATAAGTTGTGGTTGATGGGAGCTGCAGCTAAACATGAAACTTATTCCAAGTTGTTGGGGCAATTTCCAGCTATAGAAAAGGATTGGGATCTTCATATTCTACCAATCACTTCTTCTAAAAGTCCTTTTGATTGTTTTGGCTCCAAATCTAGGTGAGTAGTTTTCTCATTTTATCTTAGTTATACTGCTCTGTTGTTATTAATCAGGAAAAAAAACACAAACATGTTGAATTAGATTTTTCTTTTGGTTTATATATGTGTTTTAAGGATTTCCATTCAGGGCAAAGAAGTCTGAAGCTTCTTAAACATAAAATTTTTCTCTTATGTAACAAGAAGAATATAAAAAGGACAGGGGTATTTGGATTGGTGGAAAAGAATGGCCTATAATAGAATTCTTTTAGCTAATCCCTTATTTCTTCTACGAGTGACAGTTAGCTGTTGCTGTTGTATCTATAGTCTCTTTAAATCCTTTTCTGCTTGCTGTCTTCATTATATTCGTTATTTGTGTCGCGTAGTTAATGGATAATTTTGAGCTTTTCCTTTGATGATTTTCTTTCCTCTGTTTTTTTTCTTTTCTCCTCTACTTATTATTTTGTTCAGTACTTATGTCATGCAGTTGGATAGGTTTGAAGCTTTTACTTCCTGCTGATTTCCTTTCCATCTTTTTTCTGTACTTGTTATTTTGAGTAATTTGTTGCTTGTTGCCCTGCCTTTTTTCCCCCTTCCCCACTATTTGTACACAGTGTTGCATGGCTCAAATGCTGTTTTTTTTGGACATTTTGCTGGCTTGGGCTATGGTTTCCACTTTTCATTTTGCTTTTGTGTTCTATATTAGAAAGAGTTCAATATCAGGTTTTATCCTGAACGCAATCTAATTTGGACTAATAAAGAAAAGCCTCTCTAACTACAAGCCAATTTTCAATTGCCAATTGGCCACATAGGAAAATCTCAAATGCCGTCTAAATTTGGATTCATCAAGAGAAAGCCTATATTATATTTCAATTTGTAATCAATCAGATACTTCTTTGGAAATAAAGAAAAATAACATGTATTTTTAAGTTGTGACTACGATGGTTTGGCCATGATGCCAATTATTGAATGAAGTGAAGACTAATCTTGGTTATTTCTAAAGAAATCTCATGACCACATGTTTAGGTATAATTTTGGAATTTTTCTGGTTGTTTTTACTATTTTTCCTGAGATGTATTAATTTTTTAAATTTGGCCACATCTGAAACTTAATAATTCATGAAGGGAAGGTGTTATTGTTCAAAGTAGTTATTCTCTTGAATTCCTTTATATTTTATTTTGGCTATATAATATGTAGCATAGGGTAGTGTGTTAATTGCTTTGTTTATTCCAAATTCTGTTCTGAACCTGTCTATCCATGCATACAGTTTAGCTTCTAACTGTTTCTAACCATTGAATCTCACAGTTCCATGCTCATGACATACTTACAGCTTAATGGGGTCTTTTGTTCCATTTGGTGGGTTTTTCTCGACACCATCAGATTTCAGAAATCCATCCATCAACATAAATCAATCCATCACTCGATGTCACCTTTGCACTGCAAAGTACGAGCAAGAAGTTGCTGAAATGTTGAAGATGGGGTCGAAAATTTCAGTTGCAGATCAGCACTCAGAGAACTTACCTTCTTGGTTACAGATGGCTCATCTTGATACAGGCAAGGGATTTGATGCAGCTAAGGTGTGTCCCTCCTACATAGTTGGAAATCTTTGACTGAGCTTGTGCACATGTATAAGCATTTTCTTTTTGAAACTAATAATTTGCAGCATTGACACAAAGTTAAATACATTTTGGATATTTCATTAATTTGCTTGCAATATTTATGTAAGAATGTGCCTCATCTTCAGTGCAGACCAAAAATGATGGAACAACATTGAATGAGAAAATTTTGGGGCTGCAAAAGAAATGGAATGGCATCTGCCAACAGCTTCATCACGCTCAGCCGTTCTCCAATTTTGATATTTCTCAGAGCAGGCCCCAGGCATCAATGGCAGAGGGCTTTCCTTATGTTGCAGATAGGAAGGAGAGGAGCAGCAGCAGCAGCAGCTGCAGCAGAGATTCATCACTTAATGAGAATCAATATGCAAATCTAGGCCTTGGCATTCATATGGACTTGCAAAATTTCTTTCCATCAAAATATAACATACCATTACCCGTAGCTTCTGAAGCTGAGAATGTTAATTACCGACTTAAGCTACTCAAAGAAGCGTCAAAAAGTCAGCAGAAAGAAAAAGATGGCCCTTTGTTTACCCCCTTGACTCTGCCCTATATAAATCTACCCACTGATCACCCGTCATCTTTATCTGTCACTTCTGTGACCACGGATTTGGGGTTAGGAACACTCTATGCATCAAGTTCTCAAAAACCAAACAAGTCAAAATTAAGCGATTATAAAGAGCATTTTCAGCACCTTACAGGTTTTAATTCTTCTGGGTTTGGAGCTAGTGAGAGTACACATAAAATCAAACTATCTTCTTCATGTTCTAATCCTTCTGTTGGAGGCCATTTGGATTTAAGAGATTACAAATCAATCAGAGAAGCTCTTCTTAAAAGAGTTGGGTGGCAAGAAGAAGCCATAAGTGCTATTAGTCAAGCCATATGTCAATGTAAGGCAGGATATGGAAGAAATCATGGCTCAATTGCAAGAGGAGATATTTGGCTTTCTTTCCTTGGGCCTGACAAAGTTGGAAAGAGAAGAATTGCTTCAATACTTGCTGAAATAGTGTTTGGTAGCCATGAAAACTTAATACCCGTGGATTTGAGCTTCCATGATGGGGGTAGGCCATCAGAGACTGTATTTGGATGCCAAGAATTAAATGATTATGATGCCAAATTTAGGGGGAAGACAGTAGTTGATTATATTGCAATGGAGTTGAGCAAGAAACCTCATTCAGTAGTCCTCCTTGAAAATGTCGATAAGGCTGATTTTCTGGTCCAGACTAGTTTATCCAAGGCTGTAAGGACAGGTAAATTTCCAAATTCACTGGGGAGAGAAATCAGTATCAATAATATGATTTTTGTGACTACATCAACCATTGTGAAGGATAATGTAAATCTTTCGTCACTGAAGGAACATATTAAGTTATCTGAGGAAAGCATCATTGGAGCTAAGAGCTGGCAAATGCAAATATTAATTGAACATGTCACTGAGGGTGCCAGCAAAAGAAATGAAATGAGCGTGAAGGTTTCAAGAAAAGCGACCACCATTGCATCATTGGTTAACAAAAGAAAGCTGGACAGAATCACCAGCTCCACAGAGCAGGAATTTAATTATGAGGCTAGAAAACGGGCAAGTAAAGTGTGGGGTTCTTCTCTGGACTTGAATCTCCCTGTAGAGGGGATGGAAGAGAACACTGATTCTGGTATTTGTGACAGCGACTCTATCTCTGAAAACTCAGAAGCTTGGTTGGAAGATTTCTTTGATCAAATAGATGAAAAGGTATTATTCAAGCCATTTGATTTTGATGCTCTTGCTGAAAAAATAGTGAGCGAAATCAACATACAATTTCAGAAGGTATTTGGGTTGGAGATGTTGCTGGAGATTGATGATGAAGCAATGCTACAAATGCTCGCAGCTTCTTGGTCATCGGACGTGAACAGAGCGATGGAGGACTGGGTTGAAAGAGTCCTTGGCAGAGGGTTCGTTGAAGCCCGGCAGAAATACCATGTTACTGTTCCATATGTTGTAAAATTAGTTACTTGTAAAGGCGTTTCGGTGGAAGAGCGAGCTCCTGGAATATGCCTGCCTGCAAGAATTAATCTGTAAACTGATTCTATCTCTCGCTAATGTTTCTTGTAATGTAGCTTTTAGCATATAGGTTTAGTATCTAAAAATTGTCATTTTGGTTAATCAATGCCATAAATTTTGGGGTAATATATTTCTCTGTTGTATTGATTGTAAGTATTTTATGAAAGAAGTAAAATAAAAAAGAAAGGAGGGAAAACGACTAATTCTTTTCCGATTCATGCATGCTTTGCCATGAAAATGGCCAAATGTATAAATTTAATGTGTTTTACACAAAATCTTATGGTGTCTTAAATTTTACATAGACTTATTAATTTATGCTTTTAAATTTATGAATTTTGGTAACACTTTTTATCTCTATATATTCTTAATAGGTTTTTTTTTTTTTTTTATTTTTTTTTACTTTTATATGCAAAATATCAATATGATATGTAGTTACTACAACTTTTGCAATTATAATTTATCGATTATCTAAATTCTCTGTATAATTTTGCAAATTGAACTGCGTAATAGAAAAGTTTCGCAAGTTAAAGTGTTTAATAGATCCAATTTTATAAATTAAAGTGTTAATTTATCAGAGTAAAAATTGAAGATGTCATCATATTTTTTATATAGAGTATAAAGTGAATTTATGCATTTTGCGCCATGAAAATTAACGTTGCATTATGAAGGACCAAATGCATAAATTTACCCATATTTTACCAAAAAAATCTTGTGACACCAAATTTTACAGGAGACTTATTATGCCTTCTGAAGTTACAAATTTTGATAACATTATATCCTTCTCTATAGTAGCAATAACAATTTTTTGATGTTTTTAGTATTGATATGTAAAATATTCACTTAACATATACTTAGTATAATCTTTAGTCAAATGCGTAAATATACCCATATATTTTATAAAAAACCTTATGGCACTCCAGAGTTTGTGAATAACCTATTATGTCCCTAAAATTACAAATTTTGTTACAATTATATCTCTCTGTACGAGCAATAACATATTTTTGGTATTTTTGGCATTTATGTGCAAGATATTCATTTGATATATGGTTAGTAAAATATTTGGAATAATATTTTCACATTTTTTAACTATTCAATAAGTGTTTAATTAATTTAATGTTAGAAGTTTAAATATTCAATAGAATAATATTTGAAAGTTGAGGTATTTAATTAGTATAATTTTATAAATTAAAGTGTTCAATAAGTCAAAGTAAAAGTTGAAGGTGCCATAAAATTTTTTAATTAAAGTACTAGGGTAAACTTATGTATGGACCTATAGTTTTTGCAACAATAATTTTCAATTATTCAACTATCGAATAAGTGTTTAATCGATTTAATTTTATAAGTTTGAGTATTTTATAAAATCATTTTTGCAAGTTAAAGTATTTAGTAGATATAATTTTATAAGTTAAAGTGTTGAAAACGTCAAAATAAAAATTAAGGATACTATAAAATGTTTTATGCAAGGTATAAGGGTGAATTTACACATTATACCTATTGTGAAGAGCATCCATTAATCTAATGTAGGGTGGGGCAGGGTCTTCAACCGTCTGGTGTACTTCATGTTTAATGAAATTATTTCGGTAAATGTTAAAAGGTTAGGTTTTATTGTCCAAAAAAGAAGGGTTCGGTTTTACAAGTGACTGTGGGCATGGCCAGGCTTTATTAACATTCAATGCTGAAAGTGATGGACCAGGCCTACGCCTTCTGCTGGGCTCATTGATTTTTGTTTTTAATTTTCTTTTTCTCCGTTAAGAAATTATCTATATAAAAAATAAAAAATTATACGTTATATTATCCTAAAAATATTTTTAAAATTTTTTGATATTTAGAGTGCTATTAAAAAATTATTCAGTAGAATATCTTTAGGAAAATTATTATTTTATCTTTGAAGTTTGTAATAATTATTTAAATAGTTTCTACTGTTTATATAAATATGTATAATATCCTTGAAGTTTGCCTCCATCGAATAACTTGGTCCTTCTGTCTAAAATTATCAGTTTTTCCATTAAATTTTAATGAAAAAACAAACTACCCTCTATAAAAATTATTTATTTTCTTTTTCTTTCTTTTTATTTGTCTCCCACACCCACATGTTTATGGCAAATTCAAAATCTGTTTTTCTATAGCCAAACACCGCAAACGAAATCAAAGCAATGATTTTGTTTTTGCTAATAGTTTGAAGCTCTTTAGGAGTATAGGGAAGTCAATCCTAAGAAATTTTCGAAAAATGATATTTTGATCATTCAAAATATTAAAAAAATTATATTTGGCCTTCTAAAAGTTTAAAAAATTTCATTGAACTCTTTTAAAATAATTATTTTAACTCCACTTCTGAATCGTTTTACCACAGAGTTTTGGGCTGTTTAAATTTGTGGAATTCATTTGGAAATTTCTTTTTTTTTTAGTAAAATTTGGTTTAATTATATACAAATCTATAGAATTGAAATAGTAGAATTTTTTATATCAAACAATTTTTTTTTTTTTTTTTTTTTTTTTTTTTTTTTTTTTTTTTTTGAATAGTAGAATTTTTTAATATCAAACAAATTTTTTTTTTTTTTTTTTTTTTTTTTTTTTTTTTTTTTTAAGAATAGATAGGAGGGGAAGAAGCCCAAAGAAGGACAAAGAAGAGAGTTTTTTTTTTTTTTTTTTTTTTTTTTTTTTTTTTTTTTTTTTTAAGATAGATAGGAGGGGAAGAAGCCCAAGAAGGAACAAAGAGAGAGCCTAACTACAACGTAGAACTCTAGGGTAAGCTACATGTGGGCAATCCCGTGATAATAAGTCAGAAATAATCTGAGGATGAAATAAAACATGACAGCCCTTCTCACCAATACTACCAGCATTAGCAAGCCTGTTCGCGACCTTATCATTCTCCCTACAACAATACTTGAAATGAACAACTCATTCACGATGCAACAACTTTTGAATTTGAGAAACTAAATTTTGAAACCTCAAATTCTTAGACAAGGGAGATGAAATCAGTTCCAAAGAATTTTGCGAATCTATTTCCACAAGAGCTTCGCAAAAGCCTTTACTCCATGCCAACCATAGACCATGAAACACAGCCCTCAATGAATTCTATAAAATTGGATTCGTAAATGAATTCTACAAAATTTTGTAAAATTCATTTATTTTAAACAGGAGAAGAAACTGCCATTTATTTTAAATAATGGCAGTTTTTTGCATAATTTAAATATTTAATTGTCATGTAAAAGAGGAAAATTTATTAAAAGAACGTCAAAGTAATTTACGATTTTCTAAGCATAATGTTTATTATTTAATTACTAAATTGCTATAAAAAAAAACCGCCAAACTAGGAACCCTGATTCTTTGGCTAGTTTAAAAGTTCATTGACTAATTTAATTATTGCTTCCCCTCATATCCTTAGAGGCAGACAATCTCGGTTTCTAACCAAGAATTAATTTATTTTTAAGTTTAAAGTAATTAATTTGAGTTGGAATAAATGAATCCAAATCAAACCAAACCGATTTATTTTGATTTGCATATAGACCGAAATTGAGCTAATTCAATTTTATTCGGTTTGGTTAACCGAATACGCATACCCTACATATGCCTGCACATGGACACTTCTCTCTCTCCCTTTCAGTTATACACATATATATGATGGGAAGGACTTAATTTACACCCGCTCATACATCAAACCAATGAAAAATAATTTTCTGCTCAAATGAGAGCATGTATGACCATTTTGTGAAAAAAATATGGATACAACAGTAATAATTTTTAAAACAATCTTTTTTAATTGACTTGGTGTATAGGTGATCAGATACATGAAGTGTAACCAAGTCTTATCCTTGTTGGAGCTCAAATTCCATATACTCAACACTACATCACCTTTAGCATCTTGTTTTCTATGATATTGCCACATCACCCTCTTGCAATCTCACTTTGACTTTAAATAATGGCCAATTGCATAAATTTACACAGATAAGATCTTGTAGCTCCTCAAACTTTACAAAAGAATTTTTTAAATTACTAATTTTAGTAACATTGTATTCTTCTTCATACCAGAAATAATTATTTTTTGTGTTTTTGGAATTTATATGCAAAGAATTCACTTTGATATATAGTTAGCATAACTTTTGAAATAATAATTTTCATATTTTTTATTTATCCAATAAACATTTAATTGTTCTAATCCTTGTGAGGATGGTCCTTCTTTGTGAGGGTTTGTTACTAAATAAAAATATGATATTTGACTTTATTTGGTTGGAGACTTTAGGTCTTAATTTGCAAACATAGATTATCGATCAATGGATCCTGATAGTGCAGCATATTCATCCATTGATGCTATTAATGGATAGTGGCGAAAACTCATATACGTTCGTCATATGTTGCAAATTCTTAGAAAAACAATCTAAGTATAGAAGATAGAGAGAAGTTATTATTTAGTCATCCAAATTAATTAAAGGAATAGTTGCTACCATGAAGATTTTGTTAAGATCAACTCCAAGCGGAAAGATCTACTATTATTTTTTTTAATTTTAGTTTCATTATTCAAAAGAATGTGAATTATTTTGTTCCGTTAAAAGATTAGCAAACTCTATTAGATGTGTAATACCCTCAATTTGGTAGTCTCAGATGTTCTGATTATTATGGTAATTATTGTTATTCGAAAGGATAGAATAATTGAAATTACCTTAAATTTTTAATGATAAACTATTAATTATAAGATATAATGTTTAATGGAAACCAATTATAAGATAAAATGAGCTTAAGCTTTGATGATGAGAAGTTAGAACGTGAAGCTTCTTAAGCTAGCACCTTGATTTAGCAATTTAATGGACTAATGTTAAATCACCTAAGACATACGATTAAGGTTTAATTGAGACTAAACTATAGTAATCAAAAAGATTTAAGTGCAATTGAGTGAAAGAGAAACAAAGGAAGGTATTAAAGTGCAAAAAGGCAACTAAAGGACATGGAAGGAATTACTATGACAGATTTTGATTGCCACCTATTTAAGATGAGACAAAGAGCACCTCTTGCTTATTTTTGCTATCCATGGTCGAAGCTCCATGAAAAGAGAGAGAGAAAATCCTTAAGGACAAGCTTAAAAATCTTTAGGAATTTTCAATTGATTCTTAAGAAAATGTTAGTTATTTTCTCGTCCTCTTTCTTTTCCATAGTTTTATTTTTGATTTTCATGAATTATGATATAAGGTGCTTGCTTAGCTGACTTGGTGGAGATGAATTGATT